GTGTACCAGCCATGCACAAGTGACAAATACCAGCTGCAGCGGTTTCTCCTTCTCTAGCACCCTTTGGAGCTCTGCGATAAGATCTTTCGAGTTTCGCGCTAGATACCTGAAAGGAAAGTTTCTTTACAGTCACTTTTTCGTTCAAAATGGCAAAAAACCACGTTTTCTTAAAACAGAGCAGAAAAAAGCAATCTGCAGGGTTACCAGGTATATGTATATATAATTTCAAGGGTGATTTGAACACAATCTTTGTAAATTCCAATCAAGACCAGAGACTAACCAGCTCCAGTCACCTTTGTTACCCAAAACAATGGGGTATACCACGCCATGAACTGGCAAGTTGATACCATGTTGTTGGGCATGAGCAAAATCTGATACGATCAGCGTGATGAGATCATCCCAAGCAGATGAATAGTTTTCCGCGTAGAAGTCCTGTCAGGCAGTCAAGAGCCACAGAAGTTTTTTTAAATATATAGATGCATCGGCCAGCCAACACAAACAACAAGATGGTTTTATTTCGTTTCAAAAACAATTTCCCAAACACGTCCTTGGGGGCAATTGCACATATCACCCACCCCTAAAAATGTATTTTAGGGGGGGGAGAGGTCAGGTAAAAAAAATACATTTACCGTTCTCCAAGAATTTGATTCCCCAGGACCCCCCCTAAATACATTATTTGACCGGTGGGTGTACGTTAAATGTAGGATCCATGGGTCGGGATATCCAACCCCCCCCAGGATCTTTTATTTTGGGGGGGTGGTTTAATACATTTTACGGGTTTTGTTTTTCCAGGATCCCCGGGAATGTTTATTTTTTTTCTGGGAATACCCTTCTTTGAAAAATGTATTTTAAGGGGGTTGGGTAGCCGAAAAGCACATCATTTTTGGAAAATGGAGGGAATAGATCTGGCTAAGGTAGTCATTGGTACCCCCTGCAATGCATACATTTCAGAATATTTAAGATCAAGTATATTTCAGCATCCCCCTTGGAATTTCCTCTACAGAATCGGGAACGTTAGGTCCTGGAAAATGGTGCATTTTAACCCCCTGACTTAATAACTAAGGGGTACCTACCCAGTGTCAACGCTTTCAATTTTATAGAGGACCTTGGGGCCTCTGATTCTATAGAGATTTCATGTTGAATACAGCACTGAGGACTAGTCAGCAGAGAGTCTTAGGGACTGCGATTCTACAGTGGGATATGTTCTCTTTGGATGTATGTCATGTTCTTCAATTTTATAGAGAAGTATTGGCAGAACCAATTTCCCACAACAATTCTTTGATCATCCTTGATCATCCTTGATCATCCTTGTATATTTTGGAATCATTTGGAATCTTGACATATTTTTGGAAACTTTTGGATACTTTTGGGATATATTGGAGATTTGTTGGAGATCTATCATCAGGGTTTCATCAGTTATCATCAGTTATATTCAGCAAATATGTACAATTTTGACATTTCAATATCTTACAAAAGCAGCTTTTTCTTGTTTACAAACTATAAAAGTGACATTTTTCATTTTGCATCATTTTCCCGTTGTGTCTCCCCGTTGTGTCTCCCCTTTCTTTCTCCCCGTTGTGTCTCCCCAGTGTGTCTCACCGTTTTTGGGTCGAAGTCCTCGAGCCAGCCTTTCCGCCTTTCCGCTAAAAAAGAGCAAACGGATGGAAACAGATGGAAACAAAATGAAACAAAACGAAACAGAGCGATTTTCAAGATCTTTCAGGCATTTTTCACCAGTCTATGAAATTGAAGGGGTTGACAATGAACACTTGGAGCCTTTGAACTCTATAAATTTGGGAGTGCATAAGGCAAGCTAGGCAAGAGTAACTGGAGCATTCAGGTCAGCTGTCAATGAAGGAGACTTGGGGAACCTGATTTTATAGAAGGCCAACTATTTTTTTTTATCATGAACGAGAGTGACTGGGCGGCAAGGATTCTATAGAGATTGTCAACTTGAAAATACCTTGGGGTCTCTGATTCTATAGATGCATTTTCAGAAAGAGGGTCAGGGCCTCCCGGATTATCACTATAAAATTGTCAACACCAACACTCTCACTTAATTCAAAGGGGGATATTTCAGCCATTTTATGGCCCATGGGTTTCAGTAGGTTTCCCAGGATAAAAAGATCAATTGGATTGAGGTGCAGACCCCCCCATGCTTGCATACATTTAGAAAAGTTTATGTATCCATTGGCTCTTGTCAGTGGTGCCCCCCACAAAGCATACATTTTCAGGTTCAATACCCCTACCAATAATACATTTCCAATGTGGGATGCACTAGCTAAATTAAACCAGGTGGACACTGAGTTAGGTTTAATTTTTTTGGTTTAATTTAAAAAATCTTACGAAAACAGGGGGTCCACCCACCTCCTTAAGATCCTGAAGAAAGTTGAGTTGGTTTAATTTTGAGATGTGACCCACCCCATGGTTTAATTTCAGCTGTTTTAGCTCATTGTGCTGCCTCGTGTTCCGCCTCGGGATACTGCAGCCATGGTTCCTGACACGTGTCCTAGCACAGCTCCGTGAAGACGATCCGGCGTGGACAGCAAGGTTCTTGCACGGTTGGGAACAGCATTGCTGCAGCCCAAATGCTCCATCTCAAGCAGAGCAAGTCCATGGGAAAGGCGCTGCGGGACCATGGTAAACTGTTTCTATCTGTTTCGGGCCCCTTGCGTGACCCCAGATCAGGTCAGAATAATTAATCAAGGGGTGGGTGAGTCCATACGTACTGAACATTCATTCATCAGGACACCTTTGGCACCACAATATTCATGGCATTGATGGTCACCAGAATAATTAAACAAGGGGTGGGTGAGTCCACATGTTCTTGGCATTCATAAAGATTCATGTATTGGGATACCTTTGGTGTTATCATGATTCATTACATGAATCTTTATGAATGCCAAGAACATGTGGACTTATCCACCCCTTGTTTAATTATTCTGGTGACCATCAATGCCATGGATATTGTATGATATTATGGTGTTGGGGGTGCCCCAATGGAAGAACTGATCCTGAATGCCCAGTACATGTGGACTCACCCACCCCTTGTTTAATTATTCTGGTGACCATAAATCCCATGAATATTATGGTGCCAAAGGTGTCCTGATGAATGAATGTTCAGTACGTATGGACTCACCCACCCCTTGATTAATTATTCTGACCTGATCTGGGATCACGCAAGGGGCCCGAAACAGATAGAAACAGTTTACCATGGTCCCGCAGCGCCTTTCCCATGGACTTACTCTACTTGAGATGGAGCATTTGGGCTGCAGCAATGCTGTTCCCAACCGTGCAAGAACCTTGCTGTCCACGCCTGATCGTCTTCACGGAGCTGTGCTAGGACACGTGTCAGGAACCATGGCCGCAGTATCCCGAGGCGGAACACGAGGCAGCACAATGAGCTAAAACAGCTGAAATTAAACCATGGGGTTTAATTTTGAGAAAGTTGAGTTGGTCCACGCACCTGGGGGGAAAAATGGTGGGCGCAACTGTTTTTACACCAAGTCTCACTGACATGTGTAGAACCAGGTGGTTTAATATTTGGTCTTGGCAAAACAAAATCAACCCAATGATCCTGTAAAATTAAACCAGGTACTGCCGAGTAGCTTGTTTAATTTTTAGCTGGGGGATGCTGGGTGGGACCTTAACTGGAAGTTTTCTGGATTAATTTCTTATGTTAAAAATAAACGGAGGTTATGTTTGACTGAAAAATTTTGGAAAAAACCATACTGCAGGGGACCCCGTTTAATTAAAGAAATTAAACCAGGGTCCCACCCCCCCCCACCAATTACCGATAGGGATATCATTTCCAGCATCTGGCACTCATACATGCCTCATTTTGAGGGGTTACCCCCCCCCTAGTTCCCATACATTTTTGGCAAAAAGTGAGGGGGTTAACCCCCCCCTTATGTTCATACATTATCAGAAATGTAGGATCCACCCCCCCTACTCCTGAACCAGTTGGGGTCGGGGATTTGCACATAGAAATCGGCTTTGAAATCCTGTTCTCAAAAAGTTAACTGGTATGCCAGCTTTTTCCATGTCCTTCTCAAAATCAGTCAAAGCCGCTTGAATGCTTCGACGCTGGGACCCAAAACCAATGACGGGTTGAAATGAAATCAAAAGGACTGCTGATTTTTTGTAGGTGGTCCCTTCGTCTCCATGTATAAACACAGGAACACACCGTTCCCTCGGAAGGTGGGCCCCCTTTGGCCCAAATAATTCGTGTTGGGGATAAACTTGTTGATACCTGCGCCAAAATTCCATCAGAAGGGGCTTCGCATCCATCAGTGTCTTATTCCCAGAAAGAAGGCGTCCCAAATCACCTGTATCCGCCATAGCTGAGATGAAGTCACTGGGCTTGATGTATGGGTATCCCTCTAGGCCGCCAACAGTTGCATAGGAAAGGTCCACAGGATACCGGAGGTTGAACTTTTCAAATATCTTGTTTACGGACTTTTCCTGGATGACTCAAAATCTTTGCGTCATCAAAAACTTATAAGGTGAAGTTTGGTGGAACCTAAAAACTTATAGAGTATATATATATATATAATCCCATTTGCAAAAACTATATATATAATATATATATATAACCCCATTTTGTACATGTATTTGGTCAGTGGGGGTCTGTAAAGGATAACGAAAAAATATACCTATACAACTGGACGATCCAGGGTACGGATTTGCTCTCCCTTGCAAAAGCCAGATTGTAGATCAGCTCGCATCGCGGCCCCTCCGGCACGTCGAGACAAGCATCTTCCCAAGCAGCTTTGGCATCTCGAATGATCTCGGTGCAAGCCTCCTGAGCAGAAGCATCAGACAGGTCTATGTGGGAGCATCAGCATATGTAATGCAGTATATGGGAATATATATATATATATAATTATCGATGAAATCGATCGAATTATTTTTTGGGGACACATGCGCTTTCATGGTGCTTTAGCGTTGAAGCAACATACACTTGCACATATACATATATATATAAATCATGGCAAGGCAAACTGGGCCCATTGGTCGGATGTGCCATGAGCCCATGTGCGCCCAAGCTTCTCCCCTGCTGTATTTCCAGGCAAGACGCTGCCCTTGTTTGGAAACACCTGGCATGGGGGGGCCATGTCATGGTTGGACCTTTGTCATAAAAACATGTTTCAACCCTGCATTGATTTCAAGATGATGCTTTTTTTCACCGCTGACCAGATCCCCTTTCATTGCAGGTATATGAAATTTGCTAAGCCGCTGTATGAAATTGCACACAGCTTGGAATCGCCATGCTTGCGATGTAGAAACAACATTTCAGTTGCGTCAGTGCAAGCAAAACCCCTAGAACAGAAATTGCCCTTAATCAGGCTTGAAGACAGAGAAGGCTTCCAAAGGCAACAAGCACACCAATTATGTGTATATATATATAGAATGTCAATGAAATATTTTTTCACGAGGATATATGTAAAGATATATGTAAAGTGAACATGGGGCCCATGATGCATCTATAGCCAACCCTAATCTCCTTCACTGCTTTGCAGCTTTCCTTGATCGCCTGTTAGGCTTTGGATGGGCCTCATTGCCATCCTGACCATCAGCCTCAGCACCAGACTTAGCCTTGCGCTTTCGGATTCCATTCATGATCTTCTCTTTTTTGGCCGTTGACTTTGCACCGGGCTTCGGCTTGGGCGTTTTGGCATTTCCACCCGGAGTATCCGGCTGAGCTGCTGCCTTTCTCGCCTTCACGATTTCCTTTTTGAACTGCCTAAGTCCCCATGAATGAGCTTGGCAACATTGAATATATATACCTTCAAGGGGGCAGACCACATTCTCGCAAATAAGAAGCCAAGAAACTTGAACTGAACGTCCATGGCCACGATTTCAGCGCACCTTAGATGTTGCCAGTTGATATGGTTGTGCCGGGAAACATGATAAACTTCTAAGAGGATCCCGTGGTTCCAGTCTGAGAAAGCAAGATACGGTTTCTTCACCACAATCTTCTCCTTTTCAATCGCGTCACACAACCTAAGATAGTGGGGATGAACACTGAAAAGTATAATTATAATATCTTGGCCAAACTATATATATACCAGGTATATATATATATATGGCATCACCCCGTTTTTTTGGAACCTGTGCAAATGCATTTTTTATTCACACCTTTTAGCAACAGTGGTGCGGCGCTTTTTGAAAGGATCTGTACACGAAATACACCATGTATGGCCCACCATCTCCAGTCTTGACGTTGTCACCGCCATCCCGAATGTTTTTGCAACCTGGATTTCCTTGGTTGGCATTCCAGCAATAAAGGCCCACTATAAGGGAATACATATATAAGAATTGTAAAAATCAAATTACTTTGCTTCGAGTGATCCCACCATGACATTTATACGTTTTGTTACTGGCAAATCTTCTGGCATTCTATCTGACATATCTTCTGGCATTCGATCTGGCATTCTATCTGGCATATCTTCTGCCATTCTACCTGGCATATCTTCTGGCATATCTTCTGGCATTCTATCTGGCAAATCGTCTGGCATTCTATCTGGCAAACATTCTGGCACTTTATCTAGCATATCGTCTGGCATTCTATCTGACATTCTATCTGGCATACCTTCTGGCATTCTATCTGGCATATCTTCTGGCATTTTATCTGGCATATCTTCTGGCATTCTATCTGACATGCTATCTGGCGTTCTATCTGGCATATCTTCTGGCATTCTATCTGGCCGTTGAGGTCCAGCGGTGCTCACTGAGCTCGGAGGGTCCCAGGTTGAGGTCCAGCAGTGCTCACTGAGCTCGGAAGGTCCCAGGTTGAGGTCCAGCCGTGCCCAGTGCGCTCAGACCCTTGCAGTTGAGGTCCAGCAGTGCACACTGCGTGCGGAAGTTGACGAAGAGCTTGGCGAAGAGTTGGCAAGGCGGAAGTGGACATGGAAGTGGAGGCAGAGGTGGTGGAGAAGAAGGAGGAGGAGGAGAAGAAGGAGGAGGAGAAGAAGAACAACTCTGATAAAATCTAACAACCCTCACCTGGCAGGTGGGGAATTTGGGTCTTATCATATTTCACTTCTTGCAAGGGTGTCTACATCGATCCGTTTTGGGGACATTATATGTATGAAGTTCGAATCAAGGGCCCTTCTTGCCAACTGGTTTCGCAAACCATATATATATGTATAAAGATTCAGGCAAGTATCCATGATGTTTTTGGATAGCAGCTGCTTCCACGAATGCAGGGCTCACGCTCTCGTCCGACACATACAGAACAGTCATTCCCTCCCATTTTTCTCTATTGTTTACATAACCATAGTGTGAGTTATAAAATCTCCACACTGGGTCGTGTGTGTATCCAATTTTGTAAATGGATGGGGCATACTTTTCCAAGTGTCTTTCCAGGGTTGTAAATACATGTTTCAATACCTGACCTGCCGTGGCATTCTTGTTGGGAATTAATTTGTACCCCAGCTTAGGATCTGCCTCAATACTTGAAAAACATTGGTTGGTCCTTGGGAGAGAAAGAACTTCGTCTTTCAGAAACCTTGCCCAGGCATCTGGCTTAGCTTCACATCGGTGGACCGCCACTGGCATCGTTGGCAGGGTTGCCTATGGGAAAGACAACATATGGATTGGGAAACCTGGGTATGGGTTCATGCATATATATAAATATAAATATATATATAAATATCTTATATATGTGTGAATTGTTTGACCATCACCACTTTAGTTGCTGGCGAGCTGCATTCCGATTATAGTGGATAAGTTCCATGAGCCAGCAATCATCTTCATCCGGCTCACCCCGTGATGATGCATCATCACGCATAGCCCCAAAAAATTAAAGAGGGCACCAATTTCCCCACTAGGAGCCCAAAAACTGCGAAAAAAACATATGTTTGTTGCTGACCCTTGATGGAAATCAATACTTTCCAAGAAACTGTTTCATTTTGGGGTCGGTATTGTGGAGTTGGTCCAGCCCTTCCATCTGGATATCCGTCAAGATCGACGCCAATCGGGAGTAGCATTCCTCCAACTGGTTCTGACACTTCTCGAGCTTGTTGGAAAGCCTTGGGGCAAGCACGGGGTTGCGCAACTTTTTTCAAAAAATCCCGCGTATAATATATATAGGGTTAGATTGACTTGTATAAGCATCAAGATGGGATTTTTGTATGTGGCTGTATACGCACACATAAGTTGCAAACCTTTAAGATCCCGAAAACTTAAAATATAGGAACGCAGTATTGCTATAAGTCAAGCGGCGTTGTGTAGCCAACCTTGCGCGCCGCCACTGGGATCTCAACGTCCGTCAACACTGAAATCATCTCACAGACACCGTTCACCCTGTTCTGCACGGATGTCATGAACTTCTCTAGGTCAGGGGCCACCTAGAAGTTTGAATCACGATTCCGGGGAAGTAATCCAGTATAGTCAAACCAGTAATCAAGTTTATGATTATACATATATATATAAGATATATTAGCACTCCCAACCTTGTGACCCACAAGTTCGGGTTCGATGTTTTCTGACGGGATCTCAAGGCCAAGTCTGCTGGTATCGGGAGCTGTGGCCGACGTCTTGTCCTCAGCGGCAACGGCTCTCTTGGAAGGGGCCGAACTATATATATATATTTATAATTATAAGTTATCAGGATTGTTTCGGGCCCGGGATTGTTATGTATATATATATATAGGTACACCAAAAAAATGAAGAACCAATGGGACCACATGGGACCATAATAGGTTGAAGGTGGTTTTATCCTTTTGCAAGGCTAGAAACCTCCACTTCAGTGGTGGCAACCTCCCGGGTCAGGTCTGATCTCCGCAGGCATGTTGTGGTCTCATCCTCCACGAAAAATTCCGGCACGGAGGGGTTATATTTCCACTGCCTGGTCGCAAAGGATAAGCATGTAACAATTCATCAAATACACATGGAAATTGATCCATTGCATGGTCAAAAAATGCAGTATCCATATACATGTAAATATATATTTAAGACTCTATACATCGATCAAGGTATGCTGGCACATCGTGCACATCTCTCTCTCTCTCTTTATATATATATATATATAAATAAGGATTTACAACATGCAGGTTTATAAATGCACACCAGGTTGCCGCACCAACGCTGTTGGAAAACGCCGGCAGAACTCGATAATGCTCTTCACACTTGTCCTGGGACCCATGGGCTGTCACCAAACATGTGAAACAAAATGAAATGTGGATGGATATGTTCACAATCTCTTGGCCAAATAACGAGACCTATGGTTTTTGTATATATTGACTCTCTCTCTATATCTTTCTTTCTTTGAAAGCCGTTAAAAAAAACACATGAAAGAGGGCCATGAGAAACATGGATTCATCCAGGCTACGCGGAATAAAGTTCACATGCCTTCAACCTCTCTTCGGTCATCCACTTGCCGTGCACTTCCTGCTCCTTGGCTTCCATTCGTTCGCGCACCACCACGATGCGTGTCAAGAACTCGCCCTACAGAGTGCAGGCACAGAGCAAACACCAAAAGGAGTAGAGATACCTGCATGCTATAAAATATATAAATATATATATATATATGCAGGACTCCATATATATATATATATATATATGCCTCACCAAATATCCCCAACCTTTCCAACAAAACCTTTCCTTCACTCTGTTGTAGAGCTTGCGATCTGTGCCGTGAACCTTGATCGCCTCTAACAAGGCAATCTCAAGCCACTCCCGTTTCTCTCCGCCGCCCAAGTAGTCCTTTCGGACTTCGTCCGACACATGGCTCTTCCCCGATTTCTTAAGAGAACACAGTCTCCTAAGACGCATGCGTAATGCGTCTGCGGAGATCACCTAAGCTCAGGAGAGAGAGAGAGAGATATATATATATATATCACAAGGGTATTCAAGAATCATTTTTGGGTGTATATATATATATATGCATGGTATATTATGCATGGTGTACAAGTGATTTCACGCTGGAGAATTGAGGAGGCAAGGGGCAGCTGTCCCATCTGGATACTTGATTGGTTCATCCTCACCTTCGTCATCCTTAGCATCGCCCTCATCATCATTATCCCCTCCATTGTCAGCACCACGCTTAGCTCTACGAAGCTCACGCTCTAAGTCCTTGATGCGCTGGATCGCCATTTGCAAAGTCTCCTCCTCGTCCTGCGGCGCAACTGTGTATACAACCCATCGGGAAAAGTGGTAAAAGCAAATCTCTATATGTGCATGTGTGTGATATGTATTTGATTGCAGAGATATATATATATATGATTGCAGGCAACTTGGTGGTATATGTCTTGTATTGGGTACAACTGTTCAAGTATATTAGATCAAGATATAGGGTCCTTGCTCGTGGGAGACTCCGTCGGTTGCTTTCGCGCACTCTCCTTCACACAGGTGCACTGCACATACACACACACATGCACATATATATGCATGTATATAACAGCCATGATGCATATATATATATATATACCGTGCAAGTATATAAGGAAACAATGTACTCATGGAATCTCTTGGGTTGCATGTGGGCTGGTGTCCTGAGAAGGCATAGGCAGCTTGGTTGGAATAGTAGGCCGGTTGGTGGGAGAAGGCGTTGCAGGGACTTCTTCCTGGATGTGCATGGGCATGTGCGCTGTACTCACATCCCTGCTTCCTTTCTCTCTTTATATATATATATATGTATCATACATATATATATATATATATATATATTTATGCATGTGCGTTCTTCTATAAAGGATATATGTTTGAAAAACAAACGTATAATATGTGGAATAATTTAGGGTCTCCAAAACTCACAGCGCTGTCCAGCCTGAGGTGTCTGGCTGCTTTCCATTGTGGGCGAGGCGGAAATTTTCTCCATCAACTCCTGGGTGTCCTGGGTTGGCTGACTTATGTTTGGATAGTTGGTTCCATTCTATGTATACATCATCAGGTAATCAAACGGGGCAATTAAAATATTGCCGCTATGTATAGATTATGTTTCCCCTGCTATACATGTGACTTACTGGATGGCATGTATATACATATATATATATCTATACAAGTGCAACAGGTATATAGTCACAAATATATATATATATATATTTATTTATTTATTTATTTACTCCCCCAAAGCCTTTCCGGATTGAAATTTGCAGACAACCAAGGGTCCGCTGGAATTGTGTCAGCGTCGGAAACGGCCACATCTGTGATCTCCTTGGCTACCTTACAAATCAGCTGTTGGTGCTTATATATATATATATGTGTATATATATATGCCAACTGTTCAACATAAAATGAAACACTTTTAGATATCTATATATATATATATATATGCATATTTGCATTGATAAATCCAAACGAGATGCAGGGGTGGGTACCGCTTCAGTCTTCACAGCTCGTAGCGCCAGCAACTTATGTTGCATGTCCTGAAAGGCAGCAGCAGTATAACTGTTCTGTGCAGGATAGACCCTATACTCATTGAACAGTTAACTATATATATTCGAGCTGTATATAGTTATATATACATATATATATATATATACATCTTTGAGTTACATCTCTTTGATCCTGTTGACCCAACCCCAACTCCTTCAAACGGTTCTGGATTTCCTCCTTGTTGAACTTCTTAAGCGGCATCTTCCCTACTTCCACTGCTGCGGCAGCACCAACCGCCAGGCTTGCGCATGACCAAGCCCGGCTCGGCAACGTTTCAGCCGACATCCCCAGTGAGATCAGGTGGTGGGTTTGTGAGGCTTATACTGCTGAAACAAACAACCAACCACAGGACTGAGACGTTTGCTTTGCCAACTGAAAAACTATACAATTGCCAATCAAAAGCTATAAATGCATGCACATCCCAGTCAGTAAAACAGATGTAATTTGAAAAGGGATATATGAGTCTCAAAATACCTTCAAAATTATGGTGTAACCTCTAGTAGCCGATATGAGTCTCCAAACAGGTGACCAGTGAATACTGCATAGCTGAATTTACCAAGACGAGGCAGCGCACTGCGGTAAAATCTTTTCCAGCACATCAACTGCGGATAGTCAATCTGAAAAGGGTCAATTTTTTGAATTAAGTTTTCCCAGAGTGGTCCAGGTGACGTTGGGGACGGCATGGTTTGGATCTTGAAAAGTCTTTCATTTTACGTAAAATTTTGCGTAATTTCGAACGGTTTCGAACGCTTTTCGAACGCTTTTTGAACGCTTTCGAACGGGTACGCTTTTTTTACGCAATTGGATTTGAACGGTAATTTCCAATCCGAACGCTTTTTTTACGTAATTTTACGCTTTTTTTCAATCCGTTTTTTTACATTTTTTTTGTTTTTCTTGATTTTCTCTTTTTTTTTGGAAAACGCTTAAAAACCATTAAAAACCTGAAGGTTCCTGTTAATTTTCCATTGTGGGTCAAAAAATCCTAGATAGCCACGATTCAAACCATGACAAAAGTGACGAAGCCAATATTTGGCAATCCATGGGTGCTCCCGGGTCAACATGCCCCCCTGACCATTCAGAAAATGAAGTTTACAATTTCAGGGTTCCCTGCAGCTGCCTACCTGTCCCCCCAAACCATTTGATCGAATATATGTAGGCAGTGAAATTGTTTCAAAGCATTTTGTTGGCATTTAGGGTATACCTTTCCCCATAACCACTCTGATCAAACTTGATCACAGTCTTGTTGGAAAGCATTGCTTCCATTCCTCCGGGAGCCGGAGGTTGACATTCCCACGAAGGTATTTAATTACCTCTATGAGTTTGGCCTCAGACCAATCAGACCATTCATAATCTGTAAGTTCTTGGAAAACCGGCTCAGTGCCCACATTTGGGCGACCTTGGCCCTTCGACTTCAGGTCGGGCATCATGCTGCAAATCTTCTTCCCAAAGCGCGGCGGATAGGTTCTAGGCAGGGATCAGCCGGGGAATCGGCATGGCAATATATATATATATATAACACATATACACACATGTATACACATATAATGGTGATTTGGTTTTGGGGCCTGGGGCTACTTTGCAAACAGTGTATAAATATTGAAGGATCTCGACATTCTCCACAACCCGGCCATTGTTTGACTTATATATATATATATGGAACATCAAGGGATAATGCGAACCAGTTGGCGTAATGTTTTCCGCCCTAACAATTCGGTGTAAAAATAAAGGGAACAATGTGAAAAGGAGACACATATACCCAAACAGCTCACTATCGAAATGTAGGAGGCATATCATCTTCCCTTCCAGGTAGGCCAGCATTTACTGCATGCTAGAAAATCTTTTGGGTCCATCAAATATTTACCGTGGTAAACAAAAACCATGCAGGCTGTACTCATTTGTTTGTAGAGTTCGTCTCACCATCAGCCATGTGAGCTGGCCAAGTCTTGTGTGGTCTCACCATAACACCCTATATAAATCGTTGATAGGGGACTACTGTTGGTCTCATCCAGCATGATTGTTTTTTGTTTGGAGGATAAAATCCCTTTAGAACACAAGTGGGCCCCATATAGTAAGATGGTTTCCCCTTGAGCGAAGGTTCCAGCAATGTTTTTGGGGGTGCCGCACATATTCCCATCCAATTTAATGAATTTGGTCGGGGAATCAAAACATAATATCTTTTGATTTTTTTCATTGCACAGCCATGGCGCTGCGATTCCTTTAATGCTGCTGTTCCTTGAAATCCACCACCCTTGGTTCGTTTAGTAGTCTTCGCAGTCAACTTCTCGCGTTGCTCCTTCTTGAGCTTGCCCATGTTCAGTACACCGGTGGTTCTGTTGTTTGAGAAACATTTTTGACGTTTCGGTGATCCACTGCCGTAATGTGCCATCCACCAGCATGTTTTCCATACCTAGGCAATTCCCAACATGGATGTCTCCAAATCAAATTTAAAGGGCCACCTTCAATTCAACTATACAGTATATAGGAGAGCAAATCTGTATTAGCCAGCCCAATGAAAAAGGTTTATATTTTTTTCTTGAAGGAGACCCACTCAGTAAGATATATATATATATATGTCCATCTGCTAAAAAAAACGCGTTGAAAGATACATTCTATGGGGCCCAACTCTTGTATACATGCAGAAGAGTTGCTTTCATTCTACGGCACAATTCCCTGAACCTGTCATATTGGTCCATCAGCGATCCTCCTGGCTGCTCCAGCAGCCATGTACCTCCAATGCAGGTGATGAGGTAGTAAAGCAAAGTTGTCCTGGCAAGGTCCGCACCCCTTTCTGAAGAAGAATGCCCCATCTTGATCCCCGTAATTTATGTATGTATATATATATGGGTTAAAAATTACCAGAACAGTTCATGTATAGCATCGAGATCCCTATTAACTATATTTAAAAATAATTATATATTTAAATGCTGTCACATTCTTACGATTCTTAAATGTCTATAACACAATTAAGGTATATATACACATTTATATATATAACATGCAATGCATGGGTATATGTCTAAAATTGAGGTGCCATTTTTCTGAAAATGTTATATAGTTTAAGAATAGAAAAGGGCACATGATTTTGAGACATCCCCATATATATATAGTTATATATGTTCCCCGTCTCTCTCTGATATAACTTTATTTCTATTTTTTGGGTTGGCCCCATTCTATGCCCGAAAAAAGACACCATACAGTAAGGAAACCCACTGAGTAAGCTCTCCGTCTTAACTGCGATTGTTTCCCCTGTAATCTCCAATCAGCACAACCCAACTCCTTGACACCATACAATTGGCCAATGCCACATACAGAAGTTCAGTAAGACCTTCTGGTAGAAGAAAGCTTCTCCTTGACGTTCCTGCATTAACTACTGTCCAAGACGAACAAACTGTGGCGAAGAGTGCGGCGAAGTTGTGCTCCGCAGCTGACAACACCAGGTGAACTGCCAACCTCACATACAAATAGACTTGTGGGTTGAACTATAAAGGATATAAATGAAATTGCTTTGCTTCGAGTGATCCCCACCATGACATTTATACGATTTGTTACTGGCAAATCTTCTGGCATTATATCTGACATATCTTCTGGCATTCGATCTGGCTTTCTATCTGTCATATCTTCTGGCATTCTACCTGGCATATCTACTGGCATATGTTGTTCTGGCATATCTTCTGGCATTCTATCTGGCATTCTATCTGGCAAATCGTCTGGCATTCTATCTGGCAAACATTCTGGCACTTTATCTGGCATACCTTCTGGCATTCTATCTGACATTCTATCTGGCATACCTTCTGGCATTCTATCTGGCATATCTTCTGGCATTTTTTCTGGCATATCTTCTGGCATTCTATCTGACATGCTATCTGGCGTTCTATCTAGCATATCTTCTGGCATTCTATCTGGCCGTTGAGGTCCAGCGGTGCTCACTGAGCTCGGAGGGTCCCAGGTTGAGGTCCAGCGGTGCTCACTGAGCTCCAGGTTGAGGTCCAGCGGTGCTTATTGAGCTCGGAAGGTCCCAGGTCGAGGTCCAGCGGTGCCCAGTGCGCTCAGGTCCCAGGTTGAGGTCCAGCAGTGCCCACTGCGTGCGGAAGTTGGCGAAGAGCTTGGCGAAGAGTTGGCAAGGCGGAAGTGGACATGGAAGTGGAGGCAGAGGTGGTGGAGGAGAAGGAGGAGGAGGAGAAGAGGCAGGAGGAGGAGAAGAAGAACAACTCTGATAAAATCTAACAACCCTCACCTGGCATGTGGGGAACAAGAAATCACAAGAATGCGTTATACTTCGCAGAGAGAGTTACATATATATATATAGGGCCCACTACTGTATAGAAAAAATGAGAACCCCATATCATGTTTCCCCGTAACCTTGACGCTAAGCAACGCCAGTCCGGACGCAGTCAAAATGTCAAAGGCATTGGAGCGGGGTCCACCGATGGCCGAAAGATATTCTATATCAAGAGCCGTACTTCCATACAACTTCTTCACTTCTGCAAAGACATTTGCTTGTCCAGCAAAAAATTCGATAAATGATAGGTCCTGCAGGGTTGTCCAGGGCTTCTGTGCATGTATATATATAATATATGCCAAAGAAGTGTCTCGATTATATATAAATGTGCATGTGTGTATATGTAGATGTGTATACATGTTTTCATTGATACATATGGGGACTCTATAAGACCAATTATCCCAACCCGATCCCTGTAAAGCCTGCCGAAATCCAGGAAGGCCCTCCGTGAAGAAAACGAGCACCACTACATAGATAAAAGCCTGCAGCCCCAGCGATGATAGTCGTGGTTGGGGCGGACTCAAGCTGCCATATATATATATATATAGGTATATAGATTTGCAATGACCCACATTGGCATTTAAATTTCAAAATGCGCTGGAAAGGTTTTCCAAAGATATCATATATATATATATCCACTCTCATTTTTATATTGGTTGACTGTGCTGAGCCATTTTCAAAGCCCGAAGACATTCGGCGCCTTCGGACATCGATAGTGCATGAGAGAACGCACAATTTGATGGATGCTCTTCCCCATGGCAGCTCACAAAGCGTATATATGCTATAGTGAAACTGTGATACGATTCCATGAAAACAGACCCATCGCAAACCTGTTCATTGAAGGTGCATGATTGTATATACCCTTTGATGTCTTGTATGAAGTGACCATTACATATCTGATCTATATCCTTTGCGGTGACAATTTGTGGTTGCTGATGGCTGCAAAGATCCCCGCAGGCATGCGGTGCTGTATTGCACCCTGTGATGTCAGCATAGTTTCATCAATTGCTTTGCTCCCATACTCATGTGTGTATATATATATATATATGTGTATAGATCCAATGACACACTCCAAAAAAAAACACGCAGGGCTGACCAAGTCGAAATTGGGTTCTCACCGGCCGCTTCTTCGCAGGTGCCACGCCAGACCTTTTGGACTTCGCCATGTCGATGTTGTGGGAGGACCTGGCGCATGCACCAACGATTGCAGTGGTTCAATGAAATATAATAGGGGGAGTTCCAAAACTAATTGGGTGTTCCAAACCAATTTTTTACAGTGGAACTTTTTGAAGAAGGTTGAAAAAAGGGTTTGGGATCAACATTCATCTTCAGGGGATTTTCGTTTATACTGATGGATATATATATATATATATACACCCAGTTTTCAACTTCCCAAGATGGCTGAATGGAGCTGATGTATACATGCATGATTTTTGGTTGGCCCCACACCTCCACCAAAAATTGTAATCGTGTAACCCGAAGGCCCTTCAAGCTTCCAAGCGGAGGCACGTATAGTGATTTTCCATTGCTGCCTTTGTGCTTTGATGGTAATCCCCAAATGTCACATTGAAACACTACATGTATCAATCTAGTCTCAGAGCTGGTGCTGAGTCTAGAGCAACCTGGATTAGATGCCAAAAGCTTTCATGCGGAAACATCCGCGTCGAGTTTGGCACAAAGCCATATATACACGTGTTCATTGCTAAGAGAACAAGTGCAGCTACATATATCGAAAAACACGAGAATAATCTTGAGTTTCTCAAAAATTGGTATACTGAATCTTACAGCTGAAAGAAAACCACATGTGCATATATATATATATATTATATGTATATAAAGAAAAAATATATCATTTTTACTGCACTTCACCCTTTCGCTTCACGTGTCCATCGGCCACCCCAAAAAGTTTTGGCTGTATGCCAACTTTGCCACTCCGTGTTCACTCAGTTTGTTGGTCAGTCACCTCACGAAAAGCCTGTGCCCTCGCACTCTTCAATGAATCTGCAAATGCCCGCATCGAAGCTGATGATGGGTCAGGACCATTGGGTGCATTCATCTGCTGCGAAAGCTCCTGGACCTGAGAAGGCAGGGCACAAGAGCGGGGAAAGAATGGGACAGTCATGCTTGCTGGGCCGAAAAACGTTTTAAATAAATAAATATATATATATATTTAATATATATATATATGTAAATACAATATACATATATAGATGTTTCCTACAATGAATATATATATATATAAAATACATGACAAACCCATGTCAATTGAGGACCCCACATAAACACGTGCAGCTTCGATGTTCACATGGGAACAGGTGCCCCCACTGAAGTAAGCAATCTGTTGATACGCATTTTTGCCTTTGCGAAGGCTATTCCTGAGGAGGGATTCCAAGATCTTGACCCCAACTGCCTTCCGGGACCAATAGACACTGAATTGAAATCCATCAGCCTGGGGCATCTCTTCACCCAAATGGTCAGAGACACAGCCCGGATGTCCGGGGACATGGCACTTCGTGTACATAGACTTTGCCTTTGCACGGAACTCATCAACCAAGGGGCCCGTCACATTATCACCTGCCTCAGCCACCACTGAACCCACCTCATCCTGGTCACCCCCCACAACATTCCCAGCCATGGCTGGCTGTGCAACTGGCTCAGCCGCCACAACCGGTTCAGCCACTTCAGCTGGCTCTGGCCCTAAACTCACGTCAGCTGGATCCTGAGCTGGGGCCGTTGGAACTCGGGCTTTGCGTGCTCTGCTTTTTGCTTGTGTCTTCGCCTTTGCCTTTGCCTTTGCCTTTGCCTTTGCCTTTGGGCGGGCTGCCTGGGGATGAACCTCATCAGTGCCACCACTCTTTTGGCGGGTAGAGCGGGAAACCTTGGACACCTTGGAAACCTTGCTTTTCTTCTTGCTGGTCTCGGTTGTCTTACGATTCTTTCCCTTGCTGTTGGAAGATTTCTTCGTAGGTTTGCCAGTGGAATTGCTGTGAGATTGGTCATGTGTTTGCTCCGGCTGCTGGGCTTGCTCTCGATAGGATGCATGTGTCTCCTGGAGTGTATGTTCTTCAGCATCACAAGGGCCCTGTGTTTCACTGCTGCTGTCGCTCAAGCTGCGGTTTCTGTTCGCTAAGGCTGCTCTCCTTGCTTTGGCCTTTCTGGCTGACCTACGCTTGGAGTTGCGCAACTTGTTGGCTTTCTTGTTGGTCTTTGCATGCTTCTTGCTGCTTTTACCTTTTCCTTTTGATCCTCTCTTGCCTTTTCCTCGTCCCTTTCCTCCCTTGCCTTTTCCTTTGCCCTTTCCTTTCTGTGCCTTTTTCTGCTCCTTCTCTTCCTTGATGGTTCTCTTCATCCGAAATTGATTTCGCCTGGTGAGGGCTGTGTCTGGCACTTCAGGAAAACATGGGGCTTCTGAGTTTTGGGTATGTGGGGCCGTGCTACCTTCACCATTGTTGGTCATGTTGTCAGCATCATGGTCAGTCGAACCCCCAACATGAGCAGCAAGAGCTTTATCTTCCTTGGCCAAAGCCATGTGGTTCTCGATCGTATTGACCAGTTCCGCCGATGGAACCAGTTCGGCTTGGGTGTCAGCATTGTCATGGGCATATGGCATCGACTCAGCTACCCAAACAGGCGTAGGATCACCTCAGGTATCATGCAAGCTGTTTTTTATATATATATATATATACAAAAGAGTCCTGAGGATCGAGTCATGACATGTCAGTTCCAGCACTCTATGAACCTATATATAAATATATATGAATATGATCTCAAGTTCAACAATGGTGATGACAAGACACCTGCCACAGAGGTCCCATGTGGAGTGTTGATGCCCCACTTCTCAGCCAGGCTGCTCAGATCACCCTGGCCTTCGTTGCTGGCGCCTTGTCCCACATCAGAAGGATCTCGGGGAGCATGGTGCGACCTCGCTGCATGCGGGCAAAGGTTGAACACCCCCCCAAAAAAAAAGTATCAGATGACTGGATGGGCGTTCTTATACATATAACAGCTATAGATAAAGCAGATTGAAAAAAAAATATATATATATAACATGAACTGCATGGAACTCAACGCAATGAGAAAGCACTTATGATTGCTGCGAAGCTACTCAGTCAAATTGAACTCACTGAGTTGCTCCAGGGTCTTAAGATACTCCATGTACAAATCGATTTCTTCCTCATTCTGAAACGCAAAGTTTTCCAGCTCCATATCCTTGAAAATGGGCAAGGACAGTCATGTGCAGGTTTCATGGAGGGGTAAATAAACGGAATATCGATCCTATATATAGATATATCCTGTGTACAAGTCCCACAAGGAAAACAAATAACAGATCTATACCGCTTCATAATTGCCACTCCCATGGAACCTATAGAGTTGTATATCTACTGAGTGAGATGCATATTTTTTGTTGAACTACATATGTATATATGCAACCATGTTTCCAAATCAAAACCCATGGGAACTTCTGGCTGTTCATCAGAAGTGGAAGGCACCAAAGTCGTCGGTGTTGGGATTGGGCTTTCCATAGGAGAATTTGAAAGCGGAGTAGATCGAATTTCAGAGGGAGAAGCCACAACAACTTCCATAGATTCTGGAGTTGGCACTGAATCAGCAGGACCACCACTTCCATCTTGAAGAGGAGGAACCTTCAGTGAGTGATGTCAAATCAAACGGCTATATCACATGTCAGGATGTATATACAGTCTGTACATATATAAAAATGTTTCTGACACTAAATTTAAATGCATCTGCACACAGTTTCCTGCATATATATATAAAGATCGATCTATATATATATATATGCAGGAAACTGTGTGCAGATGCATTTAAATTTAGTGTCAGAAACATTTTTATATATGTACAGACTGTATATACATCCTGACATGTGATATAGCCGTTTGATTTGACATCACTCACTGAAGGTTCCTCCTCTTCAAGATGGAAGTGGTGGTCCTGCTGATTCAGTGCCAACTCCAGAATCTATGGAAGTTGTTGTGGCTTCTCCCTCTGAAATTCGATCTACTCCGCTTTCAAATTCTCCTATGGAAAGCCCAATCCCAACACCGACGACTTTGGTGCCTTCCACTTCTGATGAACAGCCAGAAGTTCCCATGGGTTTTGATTTGGAAACATGGTTGCATATATACATATGTAGTTCAACAAAAAATATGCATCTCACTCAGTAGATATACAACTCTATAGGTTCCATGGGAGTGGCAATTATGAAGCGGTATAGATCTGTTATTTGTTTTCCTTGTGGGACTTGTACACAGGATATATCTATATATAGGATCGATATTCCGTTTATTTACCCCTCCATGAAACCTGCACATGACTGTCCTTGCCCATTTTCAAGGATATGGAGCTGGAAAACTTTGCGTTTCAGAATGAGGAAGAAATCGATTTGTACATGGAGTATCTTAAGACCCTGGAGCAACTCAGTGAGTTCAATTTGACTGAGTAGCTTCGCAGCAATCATAAGTGCTTTCTCATTGCGTTGAGTTCCATGCAGTTCATGTTATATATATATATTTTTTTTTCAATCTGCTTTATCTATAGCTGTTATATGTATAAGAACGCCCATCCAGTCATCTGATACTTTTTTTTTGGGGGGGTGTTCAACCTTTGCCCGCATGCAGCGAGGTCGCACCATGCTCCCCGAGATCCTTCTGATGTGGGACAAGGCGCCAGCAACGAAGGCCAGGGTGATCTGAGCAGCCTGGCTGAGAAGTGGGGCATCAACACTCCACATGGGACCTCTGTGGCAGGTGTCTTGTCATCACCATTGTTGAACTTGAGATCATATTCATATATATTTATATATAGGTTCATAGAGTGCTGGAACTGACATGTCATGACTCGATCCTCAGGACTCTTTTGTATATATATATATATATAAAACAGCTTGCATGATACCTGAGGTGATCCTACGCCTGTTTGGGTAGCTGAGTCGATGCCATATGCCCATGACAATGCTGACACCCAAGCCGAACTGGTTCCATCGGCGGAACTGGTCAATACGATCGAGAACCACATGGCTTTGGCCAAGGAAGATAAAGCTCTTGCTGCTCATGTTGGGGGTTCGACTGACCATGATGCTGACAACATGACCAACAATGGTGAAGGTAGCACGGCCCCACATACCCAAAACTCAGAAGCCCCATGTTTTCCTGAAGTGCCAGACACAGCCCTCACCAGGCGAAATCAATTTCGGATGAAGAGAACCATCAAGGAAGAGAAGGAGCAGAAAAAGGCACAGAAAGGAAAGGGCAAAGGAAAAGGCAAGGGAGGAAAGGGACGAGGAAAAGGCAAGAGAGGATCAAAAGGAAAAGGTAAAAGCAGCAAGAAGCATGCAAAGACCAACAAGAAAGCCAACAAGTTGCGCAACTCCAAGCGTAGGTCAGCCAGAAAGGCCAAAGCAAGGAGAGCAGCCTTAGCGAACAGAAACCGCAGCTTGAGCGACAGCAGCAGTGAAACACAGGGCCCTTGTGATGCTGAAGAACATACACTCCAGGAGACACATGCATCCTATCGAGAGCAAGCCCAGCAGCCGGAGCAAACACATGACCAATCTCACAGCAATTCCACTGGCAAACCTACGAAGAAATCTTCCAACAGCAAGGGAAAGAATCGTAAGACAACCGAGACCAGCAAGAAGAAAAGCAAGGTTTCCAAGGTGTCCAAGGTTTCCCGCTCTACCCGCCAAAAGAGTGGTGGCACTGATGAGGTTCATCCCCAGGCAGCCCGCCCAAAGGCAAAGGCAAAGGCAAAGGCAAAGGCAAAGGCGAAGACACAAGCAAAAAGCAGAGCACGCAAAGCCCGAGTTCCAACGGCCCCAGCTCAGGATCCAGCTGACGTGAGTTTAGGGCCAGAGCCAGCTGAAGTGGCTGAACCGGTTGTGGCGGCTGAGCCAGTTGCACAGCCAGCCATGGCTGGGAATGTTGTGGGGGGTGACCAGGATGAGGTGGGTTCAGTGGTGGCTGAGGCAGGTGATAATGTGACGGGCCCTTGGTTGATGAGTTCCGTGCAAAGGCAAAGTCTATGTACACGAAGTGCCATGTCCCCGGACATCCGGGCTGTGTCTCTGACCATTTGGGTGAAGAGATGCCCCAGGCTGATGGATTTCAATTCAGTGTCTATTGGTCCCGGAAGGCAGTTGGGGTCAAGATCTTGGAATCCCTCCTCAGGAATAGCCTTCGCAAAGGCAAAAATGCGTATCAACAGATTGCTTACTTCAGTGGGGGCACCTGTTCCCATGTGAACATCGAAGCTGCACGTGTTTATGTGGGGTCCTCAATTGACATGGGTTTGTCATGTATTTTATATATATATATATTCATTGTAGGAAACATCTATATATGTATATTGTATTTACATATATATATATATTAAATATATATATATATTTATTTATTTAAAACGTTTTTCGGCCCAGCAAGCATGACTGTCCCATTCTTTCCCCGCTCTTGTGCCCTGCCTTCTCAGGTCCAGGAGCTTTCGCAGCAGATGAATGCACCCAATGGTCCTGACCCATCATCAGCTTCGATGCGGGCATTTGCAGATTCATTGAAGAGTGCGAGGGCACAGGCTTTTCGTGAGGTGACTGACCAACAAACTGAGTGAACACGGAGTGGCAAAGTTGGCATACAGCCAAAACTTTTTGGGGTGGCCGATGGACACGTGAAGCGAAAGGGTGAAGTGCAGTAAAAATGATATATTTTTTCTTTATATACATATAATATATATATATATATGCACATGTGGTTTTCTTTCAGCTGTAAGATTCAGTATACCAATTTTTGAGAAACTCAAGATTATTCTCGTGTTTTTCGATATATGTAGCTGCACTTGTTCTCTTAGCAATGAACACGTGTATATATGGCTTTGTGCCAAACTCGACGCGGATGTTTCCGCATGAAAGCTTTTGGCATCTAATCCAGGTTGCTCTAGACTCAGCACCAGCTCTGAGACTAGATTGATACATGTAGTGTTTCAATGTGACATGTGGGGATTACCATCAAAGCACAAAGGCAGCAATGGAAAATCACTATACGTGCCTCCGCTTGGAAGCTTGAAGGGCCTTCGGGTTACACGATTACAATTTTTGGTGGAGGTGTGGGGCCAACCAAAAATCATGCATGTATACATCAGCTCCATTCAGCCATCTTGGGAAGTTGAAAACTGGGTGTATATATATATATATCCATCAGTATAAACGAAAATCCCCTGAAGATGAATGTTGATCCCAAACCCTTTTTTCAACCTTCTTCAAAAAGTTCCACTGTAAAAAATTGGTTTGGAACACCCAATTAGTTTTGGAACTCCCCCTATTATATTTCATTGAACCACTGCAATCGTTGGTGCATGCGCCAGGTCCTCCCACAACATCGACATGGCGAAGTCCAAAAGGTCTGGCGTGGCACCTGCGAAGAAGCGGCCGGTGAGAACCCAATTTCGACTTGGTCAGCCCTGCGTGTTTTTTTTTGGAGTGTGTCATTGGATCTATACACATATATATATATATATACACACATGAGTATGGGAGCAAAGCAATTGATGAAACTATGCTGACATCACAGGGTGCAATACAGCACCGCATGCCTGCGGGGATCTTTGCAGCCATCAGCAACCACAAATTGTCACCGCAAAGGATATAGATCAGATATGTAATGGTCACTTCATACAAGACATCAAAGGGTATATACAATCATGCACCTTCAATGAACAGGTTTGCGATGGGTCTGTTTTCATGGAATCGTATCACAGTTTCACTATAGCATATATACGCTTTGTGAGCTGCCATGGGGAAGAGCATCCATCAAATTGTGCGTTCTCTCATGCACTATCGATGTCCGAAGGCGCCGAATGTCTTCGGGCTTTGAAAATGGCTCAGCACAGTCAACCAATATAAAAATGAGAGTGGATATATATATATATATATGATATCTTTGGAAAACCTTTCCAGCGCATTTTGAAATTTAAATGCCAATGTGGGTCATTGCAAATCTATATACCTATATATATATATGGCAGCTTGAGTCCGCCCCAACCACGACTATCATCGCTGGGGCTGCAGGCTTTTATCTATGTAGTGGTGCTCGTTTTCTTCACGGAGGGCCTTCCTGGATTTCGGCAGGCTTTACAGGGATCGGGTTGGGATAATTGGTCTTATAGAGTCCCCATATGTATCAATGAAAACATGTATACACATCTACATATACACACATGCACATTTATATATAATCGAGACACTTCTTTGGCATATATTATATATATACATGCACAGAAGCCCTGGACAACCCTGCAGGACCTATCATTTATCGAATTTTTTGCTGGACAAGCAAATGTCTTTGCAGAAGTGAAGAAGTTGTATGGAAGTACGGCTCTTGATATAGAATATCTTTCGGCCATCGGTGGACCCCGCTCCAATGCCTTTGACATTTTGACTGCGTCCGGACTGGCGTTGCTTAGCGTCAAGGTTACGGGGAAACATGATATGGGGTTCTCATTTTTTCTATACAGTAGTGGGCCCTATATATATATATGTAACTCTCTCTGCGAAGTATAACGCATTCTTGTGATTTCTTGTTCCCCACATGCCAGGTGAGGGTTGTTAGATTTTATCAGAGTTGTTCTTCTTCTCCTCCTCCTGCCTCTTCTCCTCCTCCTCCTTCTCCTCCACCACCTCTGCCTCCACTTCCATGTCCACTTCCGCCTTGCCAACTCTTCGCCAAGCTCTTCGCCAACTTCCGCACGCAGTGGGCACTGCTGGACCTCAACCTGGGACCTGAGCGCACTGGGCACCGCTGGACCTCGACCTGGGACCTTCCGAGCTCAATAAGCACCGCTGGACCTCAACCTGGAGCTCAGTGAGCACCGCTGGACCTCAACCTGGGACCCTCCGAGCTCAGTGAGCACCGCTGGACCTCAACGGCCAGATAGAATGCCAGAAGATATGCTAGATAGAACGCCAGATAGCATGTCAGATAGAATGCCAGAAGATATGCCAGAAAAAATGCCAGAAGATATGCCAGATAGAATGCCAGAAGGTATGCCAGATAGAATGTCAGATAGAATGCCAGAAGGTATGCCAGATAAAGTGCCAGAATGTTTGCCAGATAGAATGCCAGACGATTTGCCAGATAGAATGCCAGATAGAATGCCAGAAGATATGCCAGAACAACATATGCCAGTAGATATGCCAGGTAGAATGCCAGAAGATATGACAGATAGAAAGCCAGATCGAATGCCAGAAGATATGTCAGATATAATGCCAGAAGATTTGCCAGTAACAAATCGTATAAATGTCATGGTGGGGATCACTCGAAGCAAAGCAATTTCATTTATATCCTTTATAGTTCAACCCACAAGTCTATTTGTATGTGAGGTTGGCAGTTCACCTGGTGTTGTCAGCTGCGGAGCACAACTTCGCCGCACTCTTCGCCACAGTTTGTTCGTCTTGGACAGTAGTTAATGCAGGAACGTCAAGGAGAAGCTTTCTTCTACCAGAAGGTCTTACTGAACTTCTGTATGTGGCATTGGCCAATTGTATGGTGTCAAGGAGTTGGGTTGTGCTGATTGGAGATTACAGGGGAAACAATCGCAGTTAAGACGGAGAGCTTACTCAGTGGGTTTCCTTACTGTATGGTGTCTTTTTTCGGGTATAGAATGGGGCCAACCCAAAAAATAGAAATAAAGTTATATCAGAGAGAGACGGGGAACATATATAACTATATATATATGGGGATGGTTTATATTGTTTCTACGGTTGCGCTGTAAAAAATTATACTATAGTGTGCTATATATGACCCTGATGCCATGGTTGTGCAACCTGGTAGCATCCTGCAAGGATTGCAAGTTGACTCCAAACTCAGCGAGGAGGCCCCTGACCGTCTGGTCCTCAAGTATGAGGCAGCAGTGCTCGAGGGAACGAACCCCACACCATGGGATATAGATGACAAATACCTGGTATATGTATATACAGTATATAAGTTCATACATGCTTTAATCAAACCTGTGTGTACTAACAGAAACAATCCTTGAACAAAAACGGTCCTTGGGTAAATAAGGCTTGTGGGCGAAAGTCTTGAGGTAAGCGCACAGCCTCCTGACAGCCCATCCTTCATGATACAACTTGTCGCCGGTCACGGCACACTTCGCCTTTTTGTACAACAACGTAACTTGTTCGATCACCCTGTCGATGCTAGGGACCTTCGCATCATTCACCCACATGAACTTCAGAACTGGGGAGATAACTTCCTTGTTGCATTTCAGATTGTGAACACTCCTCTCCACATAGCAGTCCATTTCATTCTTGGTCTTGTTGTCAAAATGACGGCAAAGATTGTGCTGGCTCCTCAAACGTTCTCTGATCAAACTACTGCTATCCCACAAGTCTGCCAAACCATCCAGTGAATAGTGGTGGATACCCTCATCAGAAAGCTCACTGCGGGGGGAAACCACTGGGGAAGCACCGGATGAAGATGCTGCTCCACTTGCGGAACTCCGAGACGACAAACGGCGAACCATAACAAGGTCCCAAAGTACTTACCAGGTTTCCAGCAGGTCTGATCACACGGCTGCGGCTAAGGCCGGCGAATTCTTGGTGAGTGCTGAGCACGTGGGCCAAAGCGCCCTTTTTAGGAAACGAATCTTTGACGAACTTCAGCCTGTGAGGCCCCAATACTGAAAGCGCAAGTGCGCTCTTGGAGACTTGTTTCAAAATCATGTGCTACAAAGTGTTCGGGACTCAGGTATATGTGTATAAATATAATACCGACTCATATCCATATTTTTTTCTCTTATACAGATCTCATTGAAAAAAAGCTGAAGTTCACTGCGTTTGGCCTGGCTTGGTTTCAACTGCACTTCTTTCAACCCAAGCACCCAGGGATTAAATCAAGCCGGTGTCACCATGCAGCTGTGGCCAAGGGCTCCAAATCGTGGCCATGGCAGCAGAGGATTCTATAAAGTGCCTGGTTTCTGTGTGTCTCTTCGGCTGTTGGTTTATTCTGTTAACATCAAATATATATTTGTATAAACTTACAGCTTAATTTGTGTATACCCAAACATGAAAAGGATATATTTTTGGGTGCTTGGATCTATCTTGTATATATCTATAGGTTGGCTACTTGACACCTCGTCGTCCTGGCCCGGTTGCCAAAAAATCTTGAAGCTCAACTCCTGCTGCACGGCAGGCCTTTGCGGGCCGGTTTGATGAGGATATTGGGTAATGTTGCATGTATATATATATATAGATATTATCCATGCACGTATCAACCCTTATATATAGAACCCAACAACAATATATATATATATATAAATTGAATTGGGGAACAGGACATGTAATTTTGTGCCTTGGTGCGCCATATTATTGCTTCTCAATCCCAAATACTGATGATTACAAATATATAGTGTATATGCATGTGTTTGTATACATGTGCAATTTTCAGGAAACCCCTATATGTATATTTAATATATATCATATATATATATATGTAAATACACACATATATATATATATGTATATATATATATGTAAATATATATATATGTATATATATGTATATATATATGTATATATATATATATGTATATATATATATGTTCACCTGAGATTGGAAATGGTATACCCTAAAGACCCAAGAATAGCCTCGAACGGTAAAAAGTGCTCTAGAGCACTTTTTTCTACACTGTTTGCAAAAAACCAGGTTTTCTGGAAACAGAGTTGTTTTTTCCAATCTAAGGGTTTACCAGGTATTATAATATATTACATATTATATATAAATTATATATATAATATGAGGCTGACTTGAGATGTAATCTTGCAGGCTTTGTTTTGCACTTCATTGCAAGTATAGCCTTCAGATATTGGACCCCATTAACAGTCTTAAACAGTTATTTTTCCCGGTTTTTTCTATCCACTAGGTCCACTAGGTCCACTAGGTCCACTAGGTCCACTAGGTCCACTAGGTCCACTAGGTCCACTAGGTCCACTAGGTCCACTAGGTCCACTAGGTCCACTAGGTCCACTAGGTCCACTAGGTCCACTAGGTCCACTAGGTCCACTAGGTCCACTACTGGTCCACTAGGTCCACTAGGTCCACTAGGTCCACTAGGTCCACTAGGTCCACTAGGTCCACTAGGTCCACTAGGTCCACTAGGTCCACTAGGTCCACTAGGTCCACTAGGTCCACTAGGTCCACTGGGTCCACTGGGTCCACTGGGTCCACTGGGTCCACTGGGTCCACTAGGTCCACTAGGTCCACTAGGTCCACTAGGTCCACTAGGTCCACTAGGTCCACTAGTCCAAATGGACCAAGCCCAGGTGCCCCAAGCGCTGACAAAAGCGAGGCAATGTCCAAGGTACCAGAGAAAGCTGCTTCGAGGTGTGGCTATGGGGAAGATGGGGAAGATGGTCATTTCCGGAACGACTTGTAGTCATGGTATGTCATGGTTATTTGAAATGTTATTTGAAGTGGATTTATGTAAATGATGTTAGATGGATTTAAAATGGTATTTATATGTATCTTTTATCTTGAATGTTAAATGTTATCATTTTGCCATACCCAGTACGACCTAGTAAGCGCCAATGAACTAATGTGTCGCTGGGTTTTATAATGTTTTATCCACGTTTATCCCACTACATTCCAATTATATGTGTTGTTGGATCGGCCAATTCCCACTATCACATTGAAGTACCTGAGTGCTCTATAAACAATTTATATATTATGTATAAAGCTAAATAAATATATTATATGTATTACTTATATGTATATGTATAATTAATGTTATATTATATGTTGTTTATTATGTTTATACAATCCATTTTTCAACTACATCGACATGGGAAAGTGGATTGTTTGTGGTTATTTTGGGCCAATTTCGCTGGGTGCCAATTTTATAGTGGAGGAAACGTGGGTCGGATTCACCTCAATATAGTTTCTATATAGTTTGTTCACAAAAAGGATATCTCGAAAGGTAGCAGTGAGCTACCTGAGTTCCCCCTTGCGTAGCAAGTACTAGGGGGCGAGCGGTGCAAGTGCAAGAGTTTGGGCCGGTTATGTCTTCGTCCGCCTTTCAAGGGGGGGGGGGCCCCCCCTTCGATTCCCCCCAGGTCCGCCTCTAAAGCTGCGTTTGCAACATAGGCGGACAACAAGGAACGCCAGCCGCACATGCCCTTTCATCCACCACGGCGACATACATCCCCGCCCCCAACCGAAGTCAAGACCCGCACTGAAACTCGATAATGTCAAATTGCTCAAGAACTTCGTTGCGTTCACCCTAACAACCGCGACGAAAAATGTCGGAGCAAGAACGTTGCGACGGACTGCGTTGCAGTAGTTGCAAAAATCCTACCTGATATACAATACAGTTAAAGATGTATACATAGACATATATATACACATATAATTTCATGACATATTATCTATACATATACACTACACATACATAGATTTATTTTATATATATATATATCTCTCTCTCTCTGCCTACTCTACCCAGCAATTGTGGGATATTGCACTTTGGTCTCGAAAGGTAGCGGTGAGCTACCTGAGTTCCCCTTTGGGTAGCAAGTACTAGGGGGCGAGCGGTGCAAGTGCAAGAGTTTGGGCCGGTTATGTCTTCGTCCGCCTTTCAAGGGGGGGGGGTTCCCCCAGGTCCGCCTCTATAACCTTCTACGAAACCATCATAGAGACCTGGAAACAACGATAAGATCGTAGTAACAACGATAAGAATGGTAAGATCATCACGATAATTCTTCTGTATATATACCTTTATAATATATCAAAATATTTGAACATATATTTCACAGATGCGAATCAGTGTGCTGCTTGCGCGGCCGGTGCAGTCGGTTTCATCCACCACGGCGACATACATCCCCACCCCCAACCGAAGTCAAGACCCGCACTGAAACTCGATAATGTCAAATTGCTCAAGAACTTCGTTGCGTTCACCCTAACAACCGCGACGAAAAATGTCGGAGCAAGAACGTTGCGACGGACTGCGTTGCAGTAGTCGCAAAAATCCTACCTGATATACAATACAGTTAAAGATGTATACATAGACATATATATACACATATAATTTCATGACATATTATCTATACATATACACTACACATACATAGATTTATTTTATATATATATATCTCTCTCTCTGCCTACTCTACCCAGCAATTGTGGGATATTGCACTTTGGTCTCGAAAGGTAGCGGTGAGCTACCTGAGTTCCCCTTTGGGTAGCAAGTACTAGGGGGCGAGCGGTGCAAGTGCAAGAGTTTGGGCCGGTTATGTCTTCGTCCGCCTTTCAAGGGGGGGGGTTCCCCCCAGGTCCGCCTCTATAACCTTCTACGAAACCATCATAGAGACCTGGAAACAACGATAAGATCGTAGTAACAACGATAAGAATGGTAAGATCATCACGATAATTCTTCTGTATATATACCTTTATAATATATCAAAATATTTGAACATATATTTCACAGATGCGAATCAGTGTGCTGCTTGCGCGGCCGGTGCAGTCGGTTTCATCCACCACGGCGACATACATCCCCGCCCCCAACCGAAGTCAAGACCCGCACTGAAACTCGATAATGTCAAATTGCTCAAGAACTTCGTTGCGTTCACCCTAACAACCGCGACGAAAAATGTCGGAGCAAGAACGTTGCGACGGACTGCGTTGCAGTAGTCGCAAAAATCCTACCTGATATACAATACAGTTAAAGATGTATACATAGACATATATATACACATATAATTTCATGACATATTATCTATACATATACACTACACATACATAGATTTATTTTATATATATATATCTCTCTCTCTGCCTACTCTACCCAGCAATTGTGGGATATTGCACTTTGGTCTCGAAAGGTAGCGGTGAGCTACCTGAGTTCCCCTTTGGGTAGCAAGTACTAGGGGGCGAGCGGTGCAAGTGCAAGAGTTTGGGCCGGTTATGTCTTCGTCCGCCTTTCAAGGGGGGGGGTTCCCCCCAGGTCCGCCTCTATAACCTTCTACGAAACCATCATAGAGACCTGGAAACAACGATAAGATCGTAGTAACAACGATAAGAATGGTAAGATCATCACGATAATTCTTCTGTATATATACCCTTATAATATATCAAAATATTTGAACATATATTTCACAGATGCGAATCAGTGTGCTGCTTGCGCGGCCGGTGCAGTCGGGCTCAAATCCTTGGGGTTGAGCGACCGTTGCACCTGTGCGACTTCGTTGAGGCACCCTTGGTAGGAAAAACTGCAAAAACTAGTTCGAGATGCCCGAATGACCTTGAAACTGACCTAGACACACATCAGTTGACAGGTATGCAGAAGTTTCACACCTACGCAGCCTACAGGCGAGGTCGGGGCTGTGAATCACGGGTGGCAAAGCGACTCCACTGATGGACCGACAAGTCGTTGCTGAGGGTGCATCCTCTGAGCTAGAAGTTTCCTCACCCCCAGATTCTGTTGTCGTCTCCGTCCTTGGTTTTTAAAATGTTTAAAGTTGATCATAAGTCTTGAAAAGAAAAAATACATTGTATTGTTTGATACTGTATGATACCACAAGGTTTTTGTTGTTGTTGTTGCAGCTATGTGTCTCTGACGAAGTATCATATCGACGGCGGTGGTTGGCGCACACAGCACCCTTGCAGGACTCACCATCCGAATCCCACCGTGGTGGAAGAGGCATGGGCGGCTG